CTCCTCTTCCTCTTCTTGCTGCTGCTCTCCTTCCTCTTCTAGATCAGGTTCTCTGCTCCTCTTCCTCTTCTTCTGGCTGCTCTGCTTCTTCTTCCAGAGTGGATTCTTTGCTCCTCATCTTCTTCTTCTCGCTGCTCTCCTTCCTCTTCCAGAGTGGGTTCTCTGCTCCTCTTCCTCCTCCTCACTCAGCCCTTCCCTGCAGCCTCTGGCCCCTGAGTCTCCTCCTCCTCCTCCCTCAGCCCTTCATTCCCACGGCAATCCCGGGCTCTGACCCCCGAGTCTCTTCCTCCTCCTCTTCCCTCAGCCCTTCCCGAGTCTCTTCCTCCTCCTCCTGGCTCAGCAGTCCCGGGCTCTGACCCCTCTCTCCGTGTCCCCACAGGCCGATCACGCCGCGGGACGCCCTCAGGAGGTGCCCCCCAACGGGCCGCTCCCCACCTCAGGAGGAGCCCCCAAAGCCCCGGCGCCTCCTCCCCCTCCTCCTCCGCCGCCGGCGCCCCCGGAGCCCCCGGCCCCGCGCGGCCCCGGCCCCGCTGCCGTGCCCCAGCGCGTGTCCCACGAGCAGTTCCGGGCGGCGCTGCAGATGGTGGTGGACCCCGGGGACCCCCGCTCCTACCTGGACAACTTCATCAAGATCGGCGAGGGCTCCACGGGCGTGGTGTGCATCGCCACCGTGCGCGGCTCCGGGCAGCTCGTGGCCGTCAAGAAGATGGACCTGCGCAAGCAGCAGCGGAGGGAGCTGCTCTTCAACGAGGTGAGGGCGGCCCGGGGAGCCCTGAGAGCCTTGGGGAGCTCCGAGAGGCTTGGGGACCCTTTGAGAGCCTTGGGGAGCCCCGAGAGGCTTGGGGACCCTTTGAGAGCCTTGGTGACCCTCAGGAGACCCTTGGGAGCCCTCCAAGAGCTCTTGGTGACCCAGCAGGGAGCTTCTGATGGCCTGGGGACGCCCTGGGGACCGAGCCAGGCTGCTGTCGCTGTGTCCCCAAGGCTCTCAGGTGGTCCCCCAGGCTCTCAGGGACAGTGCCAGGCCCCGATGGCCGTGTTCTTTGCCCATGTCCCCAGGGCTCTCAGGGACAGTGCCAGGCCCCCATGCCCATGTCCCGCTGTCCCCAGGTGGTGATCATGAGGGACCACCAGCACGAGAACGTGGTGCAGATGTACAACAGTTACCTGGTGGGCGATGAGCTCTGGGTGGTGATGGAGTTCCTGGAGGGCGGCGCCCTGACCGACATCGTCACCCACACCAGGTGAGCACACCTGGGGGGGGCAGAGCAGGGGGCACGGGGGGGGCACAGGGGGGGGTGACAGAGGTGGCAGGGGGCGGTGCCAGGATGGTGGCAGAAGTGACAGGGCAGTGACAGAGGTGACAGAGGTGTGAGGCTGGTTGCAGAGGTGGCAGGGGGCGGTGCCAGGATGGTGGCAGAGGTGACAGGGCAGTGACAGAGGTGACAGAGGTGTGAGGGCTGGTTGCAGAGGTGGCAGGGGGCGGTGCCAGGATGGTGGCAGAGGTGACAGGGCAGTGACAGAGGTGACAGAGGTGTGAGGCTGGTTGCAGAGGTGGCAGGGGGGCGGTGCCAGGATGGTGGCAGAGGTGCCAGCCCGGTGACAATCTGCCGCCCAGGATGTCAGAGGAGCAGATCGCCGCCGTGTGCCGCTCGGTGCTGCGCGCGCTCGCCGTGCTGCACGCCCAGGGCGTCATCCACCGCGACATCAAGAGCGACTCCATCCTCCTCACGCACGACGGACGGGTAGGCGGCCTGCTCTGGGGCAAACTGGGGGGAAAACCTCCGGAAAGGGGCCAGCAGGGACCCCCAGAAATGCCCCCCAAAGCCCCCTGACCTTTTGGGGTCCCAGCCCCGCTGGCAGGTGAAACTCTCTGATTTCGGACAGTAGGGACCCCCCAGAAACGCCCCCCAAACCCCCCCCCCGACCCTCTGGGGTCCCGCCCTGACCCCCCAGCCCCTCGGCAGGTGAAACTCTCGGATTTTGGGTTCTGTGCCCAAGTGAACAAGGACGTGCCGCGGCGCAAGTCCCTGGTGGGGACCCCGTACTGGATGGCCCCCGAGCTCATCTCGCGCCTGCCCTACGGCCCAGAGGTGGGGCAGGGGACTCGGGGGATTTGGGGGGTCCTGGGCTGTGTTAGGGGGTGTTTAGGGTGGGCTTCAGGGGGTTTAGGGTGGGTGTGTTGGCCCCCAGGTTCATCTCCTGCCTTCTCTGCCACCTCGAGGTGTATTGTGGGGAGTTGGGATGGGTGTGGGGGTGCCCAGGGTGGGTTTGGAATGGTTTTAGGGGGAGCAGGGTGGGTTGAGGGTGTCCAGGGTGGGTTTGGAATGGGTTTAGGGGTGCCCAGGGTGGGTTTAGGGGTGCCCAGGGTGGGTTTAGGGGGAACAGGGTGGGTTTGGAACGGGTTTAGGGGGAGCAGGGTGAGTTTAGGGTGGGTTAAGGTTGCCCAGGGTGGGTCTGGGGATACCCAGTGTAAGTTTGAGGGGCTCCAAGTGGCACGGAGTGGGTTTGAGGGGTTGCCCCCCTAGCCCCCTCCTCACTTTTGGTCATTTTTGGGGTGACCCCCCCCCCCTCCCAGGTGGACATCTGGTCCCTGGGGGTGATGGTCATCGAGATGGTGGACGGGGAACCCCCTTATTTCAACGAGCCCCCCCTCAAAGCCATGAAGCTGATCCGGGACAACCTCCCTCCCCGGCTCAAGAACGGCCACAAGGTAACTCGGGGGGGCAGGGGGGCAGTCCCCCCATTTCTGGGGGTCTCTCACACCCCCCCATTTCCCCCCTTTAGGTGTCCCTGTCGCTGAAGGGGTTCCTGGTGCCCCCTCTCCATTTCAGGGGTCTCTCACACCCCCTTTTCCTCCCCATTTCAGGGGTCTCGCACCCCCATTTCCTCCCCTGAGGTGTCCCCGTCGCTGAAGGGGTTCCTGGAGCGGATGCTTATGCCCCCTCCCCATTTCAGGGGTCTCACCCCATTTTCCCCCCCATTTCAGGGGTCTCACACCCCCTTTTCCCCCCTGTTCAGGTGTCCCCGTCGCTGAAGGGGTTCCTGGAGCGGATGCTGGTGCGGGACCCCGCGCAGCGAGCCAGCGCCCCCGAGCTGCTCCGTCACCCCTTCCTGGGCGTGGCCGGGCCCCCCGCCTGCATCGTGCCCCTCATGCGGCAGCACCGGCTGCGCTGAGAGACCCCCGGGATGGGGGAGAGACCCCCGGGCCGGGGGGGAGACCCCTGTCCTGGGGGAGAGACCCCTCTGTCCTGGAGGAGAGAACCCCCGGACGGGGGAGAGACCCCCCCAAGCTGGGGGAGAGACCCCCAGACGGGGGGAGACTCCTCCTGCTCAGGGGGAGAGACCCCCAAGCTGGGGGAGAGACCCCTGTCCTGGAGGAGAGACCCTCGGACAGGGGGAGACCTCTCCTGCTCAGGGGGAGAGACCCCCAGACAGGGGGAGACCCCCTACCCCGAGAGAGACCCCCCACCCCAGAGGGAGACCCCCGGCCCCCTCCTCCTCAGCAGCCCCCCCCCAAACTGGAGCGGGCCTGGGACGTTCTGGGGGACCCCGGCCCCCCAACCTGTACTACTGAGCTGGGGACCCCCCAGCAGAGATTTTGGGGGGGGGAGGCCGCCGTCCCCGAGATTTGGGGGTGCACGGGCTCCTCCTGCCCCCCCCGCCTTTGGGACTAATTTTGGGGCATTTCCCCCTTTTTTTTTTGGTTTTTATTTTAGGCCCCTCTTTTCTACCCAATTCGGGCACTTGGGGTACAGCCCCCCCACCACACCTCCGTGAGGGGGGGTCCCCAAAACTGCAGCCCCCCCTCTTCCCCCCACACCACACTACTGATTCGGGGTGTGTCCCCCCCCCTCGTTTTTATTGATTTTGGGGTTTTTTTGTTTGTTTGGTTCCTTCCCCCCATGCCCCCCCTCGGTTTTGTTTTTTTTTTGTTTTTGTTTTTTAACAAAAAATTGATATTTATATGGTCGGGTTTTGTACCGCACGGGAGGGGGGGGACACGGGGCCCCCCCAGAATTACACGTGTCCTTTTGGAGCCCCCCGTGTGCTGTGTGTGCTTCTTTTGGGGGTGGGGGGCACGCGGGGGGGGCGTGGGGACACCCCCTCCCCAACAAAGGAGCCCCAGGCAGGAGCTGCTGCTGCCTCAGGGCTTTATTGGCTGCAGGGGGGGCAGGGGGGGCACATGGGGTCTCGCAGTGGCTCGGCTCGGCTCGGTCCTTGATGGTGAATTGTGGCCAGTGCCTGCTCATGTTGACTTGGCTTGGTTTGGCCTGGTTTGGCTTGGCTTGGGTCCTGATGGTGAATCTTGGCCAGTGCTGGGTCGTGTTGGCTCGGCTTGGCTTGGCTTGGCACGGTCCCTGATGGTGAATCCTGGCCAGTGCCAGCTTGCCTTGTCTTGGCCAGCGTTGGCTCGTGTCGGCTCATCTTGGCCATCTTGCGGGTGCTTTGGCCCACGTTGGCTCAGGCTGACCCGCGCTGACTCGTGCTGGCACACGGTGATGCATGCTGGCACATTCTGACCTGTGCCAGGTCGCAGTGACCCATGCTGGCACATCCTGACCCACACTGGCACATCCTGGCCCACGTTGGCACATCCTGGCCCACGCTGGCACATCCTGGCCCACGCTGGCACATCCTGACCCGTGGTGGCTCATAGTGACCCACGCTGGCACATTCTGACCCGTGTCAAGTCACGGTGACCCACATTGGCTCATGGTGAGCTGCGTTGGCCCATCCTGACCTGTACCAACCCGTGTCCCCCACGTGTCCCCCCCATGCTCACTTGCAGGTGCAGTACAGAGCCCAGGTGGCATCGTTCCAGACCCCGAAGAGCCCCCTCCTCACCTCCCACCACCCCAAATTCCCCCACCCTCACTTGCAGGTGCAGTACAGGGCCTGAATGGCATCATCCCAGTCCCCGAAGAGGCCCCGTGTCCCCCCATATTCCCCCCATAGCCCACCACCCTCACTTGCAGGTGCAGTACAGAGCCCAGATGGCGTCGTTCCAGTTCCCGTGTCCCCCCGTGTCCCCCATATTCCCCCCAGGCTCACTTGCAGGTGCAGTACAGGGCCCGGATGGCGTCGTTCCAGTTCCCGAAGAGCCCCCGTTTCACCTCCTGCAGCCGCGGCACCGCTCCCGCCGAGAAGCGCCGCGTTTTGCCCGCCTTGGCGCGGCGGGACCACACGGTGAGCTCGCACCGGGTGCCCACCACGAGCGAGGAGGCGCGGCCGGCCCAGCCCACGGGCAGGTAGGGCATGTCGGCGTCCGGGAGCACCTCGAGCGCGTCCCCGGCGCAGCACTGGTCGTAGTAGGGGCTGTTGTCGGCGTAGAGCAGCGCGCAGAGCCGGGTCCCGTTCGCGGGGCGCAGGTCGGCGGGCGCGGGGCACTGCGCGACCGCCCCCCGGGACCCCAGCAGCGCCAGCAGCAGCGCGAACAGCAGCGCCAGCATCGCTGTCACCTCCGATGTCTCCTGCTGTCACCTTCTGGTGTCACCGTCACCTGCCGGGGCCGTGCCGGGCCCTTGGGCTGAGGTTATAGCCCGGCCCCAAGGCCGGCGGGCGGGGCACACCTGGGAGGGGACACAGGTGTGTGCGGGGGGTCCCAAGGTCTGCAGCCTCCTCCCCACCATGGGAAGGGACACAGGTGTGGGGGGGGGGGGGGTCCCCAGGAGGGGACACAGGTGTGTTGAGGGGGGGGTCCCACGGTCTGCAGCTCCCCCCATCCCCACCTGGGAAGGGACACGGGAACCGTCACAGGTGTGTGGGGGTTCCCGAGATCTGCAGCTCCCCCCATCCCCACCTGGGAAGGGACACAGGTGAGGGGGGGACACGGGAAGGGTCACAGGTGTGTGTGGGGGGTCCCGAGGTCTGCAGCCCCTCCCCCCGCCGTGGGAAGGGTCACAGGTGACCCCCCCCCCCGGGCCCCCCCCGCCTTGGCTCCTCCTCCCTGCCCAAGGCCAGGCTGGGGCCAAGGTGTTCTGTATGCAAATGAGGGCATAATTAGCCGGTGATTTTGCTGGTGGGCCCCGTCCCTTTTTTGCATATTCATGACGCCGTCGTGGTCCCGCTGAGCTCCCCGCGACGGTCACCATGGCAACCGCAGGGGGGCGGGGATTGTTGCTCCATTAGCATAGTCCTGACCCGCCCACATTGCGGGAACAGACGGGGGGGGGGGGGGGAAGAACCTCGGGGGGGGGGGTCGCATTGGGCTGGGACCCCCCCCCCAGGAAATTAAACCCCCCAGCCCCAAAACACAGAGCGCGCCCCCCCTGCCCCAAACAGAGACACCCCCCTGCCCCAAACAGGGACCCCCCCAGCCCCAAAACACAGAGCGCCCCCCCGCCCCAAACAGGGACGCCCCCCTCCCCAAAATACAGAGCGCCCCCCCAGTGACACTCGCGTTTCTGCCCCGGGGGGGGGCACAGGTTTTTAATGTAAAAACTCGTGTTAAACACTGCGGGAGCCCGGGGGGGGCGGCTGGTGGGGGGGGCGGCGTTTCGGGGAGGGGGGGCACGGGGAGGAGCTGAGGCGTTTTTTTGGGGTGGGGGCAATGGGGGTGGGCAGGGAATGGGCGGGGGGGCTGGGGCGCCCCCCCAGGTTATCCAGACCAGCCAGATAGGGACCCCCGGGTCGAGTTTTTTTTTTGTGGGGGGGGGCAGAGGCCACAGGAGGGACACACGGGGGGGTCCCCAGGCATCCGGGGGGACCCCCCCTTTTTGGCCCCCACCGCCCCCCATCCCCACGGGGGGTGGGGGGTTTTATTTGGGGGGGGGCTGCGGGTCTCGTGTCATCTGTGCAGAGATGTCGGGGGGGGGCGTGCGCGGGGCCCCCCCGGCCCGGCCGAAGGCACCGCGGGGGGGGCGGGCCGGGCACGCACGGGTGGGGGGCACGGGGGGGGTCACACCAATTTTGGGGCGCACACACAAAGTCCCAAGTGCGCGTTTTGGGGTGGGGGGGACATACACACGCGTGGGGGGGGTAGCCGCAGAATTTGGGGGGGGGCGCGGTCCCCGTCACCGTCCCCCCGCCCCCCGCACGTGTCGGGGGTCCCCACGCGCGCGGGTTTTTGCGGGGGGGGGAAGGTTTGCATACAGGTACCCCCAGGGCGGCCGGGGGGGGCACCTGGGGGGGGGCACCTGGCGGGTCCCCAGCGGCACCTGGGGGCACCCACGGGGTCCGGGGGGCTCCCGGGACCCCCCTCCCCACCAAGAGCCGCCGGGGCTGCGTCTGGGACCCCCCGGGAGAGGAGGGGGGGGGGTCCCACCGCCGCCCCCCCAGGAGGATTTGGGGGGTCCCAGTGGGTGCTGCCCAAGAGGGGGGTCCCGAGAGGGGGGGGGATTCCAACCGTGCCCCCCCTCAGACGGTGCTCTCGGTGCTGCCCAAGAGAGGGGTCCCAGGGGGGGTTCCCACCATCCCTCCCCCTCAGACGGCGCTCTCCAGCATCCAGTGGGTGCTGCCGAAGTTGGGGCGCAGGGGGGGTCCCAGGGGGGTCCCGGGGGGGGATTTCCCACCATCCTCCCCCCCTCAGACGGTGCTCTCCAGCATCCAGTGCGTGCTGCCGAACGAGGGGCGCAGGGGGGGTCCCAGGGGGGTCCCCTCGGGCCCGTCCAGCCGCGGCAGGGACCCGTGGCGCCGCGGTCGCGCCCGCCGGGGGTAGCTGTGGCTGGGGAACAACGCCCGCGCCCCCGCCCCGGGACCGCCCCCGGGACCCCCGCCCGCCGCCGGCGGGGGCAGCGGCGGCAGCGCGGGCAGCTCGGGGGTCTCGGCGGGCCGGGGGCCGCCGTTGGTCTGCGAGCAGACGCTGGTGAGGGTGGGCGGGGGGCGCCGCGCCCCCGCCGCCGCCGCCGCCTTCCAGCGCGCCGTGAGGATGAGGATGAAGACGAGCACGGAGGCGGCGATGGCGGCGCCGATGACGATGATGACGGTGCCCCCCAGGAAGTGCGGCCGCGGCGGCGCGGAGCAGCCCGGGGGGGCGGCGGCCGTGGCGAACGAGACGCAGCCGAGCGGGCGGGGGGCGGCGGGGGGGTCGCCGAGGACGCGCAGCGCGGACACGCACAGCTCGTACTGGCGGCCCGGCACCAGGTCCCGCAGCACGAAGGTGCGGCTGGAGGGGGGCAGCAGCCTGGGGAGGGGGCGATGGGGAGTCGGGCGAGGGGCGAGACCCTCGAACCCCCCCTTTGCCCCCCCAGGGAGCGGAAAACCCGCCCAGGACCCCTCAGGATCCCCCAAACGCCTCCTCAATGCCCCCGCTAAACACCTCAGAGCCCCCCCAGGACCCCCCGAGTGCCCCCAGGAGCTCACCAGGGACCCCCCTGAAGCCCCCCCGATATAGAGAATTCCCTTGGTGTCCCCCCGATCCCCTCAGAGGCCCCCCGGGACCCCCTTGAACACCCTCCCCCAGAACCCTCCAGGACGCACAAATCCTTCCCAGACCCTCCCGGAGCCCCCCATCTCTCCCCCAGGACCCCCAGACCCTCCCCAAACCCCCCGGAGCCCCCCATCTCTCCCCCAGGACCCCTCCCAGCCGCCCCAGCCCCCCAGGCACACCTGTCCGGGTGTTCCCCGGTGCCCACCTGTAGACCAGGCTGTCGTCGGCCGAGCTGTTGTACTGGATCTGCACCATGCGCACGCCGGGCACGTGGCGCTGCGGCAGCCACCGGATCCGCGCCGACGACGCCGTCACCTCGGCCGCTACCACGCGCTGCCGCTCGCCGGGGCCGCCCCAGGTGTCGTTGCCGCCCGCCTGGGCCATGTCCGAGGGCCCGGGCCCCGCCTCGGCGCCGCCGTCCCCGTCCCCGTCCCGCGCCCCGTCCCGCGGCACCGGCAGCGGCACCACCACCACCTCGACGCGCGCCGCCGCCTCGCCCGCCGCGTTGGCGGCCACGCAGGTGAAGCCGCCGTGGTCGCGGAGCGTGGCCACGCGCAGCTCCAGGGAGCCGTCGGCGCCCACGGAGCGCCGAGAGCCGTTCTGCACCACGCGCCCGTCGGGGCCCAGCCAGTGCAGCGCGGGCGGCGGGTCCCCGACGGCGGCGCAGCCCAGGCGCAGCGGCTGCCCCTCGGTGACGGCGGGCGGGTGCGCGGCCGCGGCCGTGACCGACGGCGCCCGGCACGTCAGCTCCTCCTCGGGCACGGCGCCCAGCAGCCGCCCGGCCAGCGGCGCCGGCGTGGCGCAGGTCTCCAGGCGGCCGGGCTGGGCCACGCGGCGCAGCCACAGCAGCTCGCAGTTGCAGTGCAGCGGGTTCCCCCCGGCCGCCAGCGACGGCCCCGGCGGGCCCGGCACCGGCGGCAGCGCCCGCAGCCGGTTCGCCGTCAGGTCCAGGCGCGCCAGGCGCGGCAGCCGCGCCACGGCGCCCGCGGGCACCCGCTCCAGCAGGTTGTGGTCCAGCGTGAGCGTGGCCAGGCTGCCCATGGCGGCCACGGCGTCCCAGGGCAGCGCGGGCAGGTTGTTGTGCGACAGGTCCAGGTCCTCCACGGTGGCGGCGAAGGCGGCGAAGGCGGCGGCGTCGATGGCGGCCAGCTGGTTGTTGGCCAGGATGAGGTGGCGCAGGCTGGCCAGCCCGCGCAGCTGCGGCCCGCTCAGCGCCGGCAGCCGGTTCCCGTCCAGGTGCAGCGCCCGCAGCGCCCGCAGGTCGGCGAAGGCGCCCGGGGCGAGGCGGCGGAGCCCGTTCCGCGACAGCGTCAGGTGCACCAGGCTGCTCATGTTGGCGAAGTCGGCGCGGCCCACGGCGCCGATGAAGTTGTCGGCCAGGCGCAGCTCCACGGCGGCGCGGTCCAGGCTGGGCGGCACGGCCAGCAGCCCCGTGCGGGCGCACAGCAGCGTCGGGCTGGGCGCGGCCGCGGGGCACAGGCACCGCGCGGGGCAGCGCGGCGGCGGCGACACCGGCGGAGACACCGGCACCGGCGGCACCGGCACCACGCCGGCCCCCGAGACGGCGCCCAGCATCACCAGCGGCACCAGCAGCTTCGCCATCCCCGCGGCGGCGGCGGCGGCCGGGCCTGAGCGGCGGGGACAGCAACGGGGGAGAACGAGGTCACCGGGGAACGGGGCGCAACAACGGGGAACAACAACGGGAACAACGGGGGGAACGGGGGATAACAATGGGGGACAACAATGGGGGAGAACGGAGGTCATGGGGAGAATGGGGGTCAACAAGGGGGGACAACAACGGGAAGAACGACGGGAACAACGGGGGTCACGGGGGGAACAGGGGAAATGGGGGAACGGGGGTCACCGGGGAATGGGGGAAAACAATGGGGGACAACAACGGGGGAGAACGGGGGTCATGGGGGAAACGGGGGACAACAAGGGGAACAACGGGGGTCACGGGGGGAACAGGAGAAATGGGGCAACGGGGGGGAATGGGGGGAATGGGAGACAACAATGGGGGTCACGGGGGTCAGGGAGTGCTGGATCACAGGGGATCCCAGCAGGTTCCAGCAGAACCCAGCAAGTCCCAGGAGATCCCAGTGGAGCCCAGTGAAGCCCAGCAGATCCCAATAGATCCCCGGGGGATCCCAGTGGATCCCATCTGTCCCAGAAATCCCACAGCACACCACAAACCCCCAGTGAGGTCCCAGTAAAACCCAGCGGATCCCAGTAGATCACCGTATATCCCAGTGGATCCCAGCAGATCCCGCCTGTCCCACAAGATCCCACAGCACACCACAAAACCCCAGTGAGATCCCAGTGAACCCAGTGAGATCCCAGTAAGATCCCAGTTCTCCCCGTTGTCCCAGTGAGATCCCAGTTGTCCCCGTTGTCCCAGTGAGATCCCAGTTGTCCCAGTTGTCCCAGTACCTCCTCTCAGGGCTCCATGTTGGTCCTGTCCAGGCGTCGCCGTGGGGCCTGTGGGGACAGGGGACAGACCAGTACGGACCAGTACAGACCAGTACGGACCAGCATGGGCCAGTACAGACCAATATGGGCCAGTACGGACCAGTACAGACCAGTACGGACCAGCATGGGCCAGTACAGACCAATATGGGCCAGTACGGACCCGTACAGACCAGTACGGACCAGTACGGACCAATATGGGCCAGTACGGACCAGTACAGACCAGTGCACACCAGTACGGACCAGTAAGACCAGTGCACACCAGTACAGACCAGCACAGCCCAGCACAGCCCAGTATGGCCCAGCACAGCCCAGTATAACCCAGTGTAATTCAGCCCAGCCCAGTGCAGACCAACACAGACCCAGTGCCTCCCAGCATGGCCCAGCACAGCCCAGCACGGCCCAGCACAGCCCAGCACAGCCCAGTATAACCCAGTACAGCCCAGCACGGCCCAGCACGGCCCAGCACAGCCCAGCACAGCCCAGTATAACCCAGTACAGCCCAGCACGGCCCAGCACAGCCCAGTACAGCCCAGCACGGCCCAGCATGGCCCAGTATAACCCAGTACAGCCCAGCACGGCCCAGCACATCCCAGTGTAACCCAGCACAGCCCAGCACGGCCCAGCACAGCCCAGCACAGCCCAGTATGGCCCAGTACAGCCCAGCATGGCCCAGCACAGCCCAGTGTAACCCAGCACAGCCCAGCACAGCCCAGCACGGCCCACCACAGCCCAGTATGGCCCAATACAGCCCAGCACATCCCAGCATGTCCCAGTACACACCAGCATGGCCCAGCAGGACCCAGTATAACCCAGTACAAGCCAGTACAGCCCAGTACATCCCAGTATAACCCAGCACAGCCCATTTTAACCCAGCACAGCCCAGCCCAGTATAACCAGTACATCCCAGTATAACCCAGTACATCCCAGCACAGCCCAGCACATCCCAGCACATCCCAGCACAGCCCAGTACATCCCAGCACGGCCCAGTACAGCCCAGCACAGCCCAGTATGTCCCAGTACATCCCAGTATAACCCAGTACAGCCCAGCACATCCCAGCACATCCCAGTACATCCCAGCCCATCCCAGCACAGCCCAGTACATCCCAGTATAACCCAGTATGGCCCAGTACACACCAGCACGCACCAGCATGGCCCAGCAGGGCCCAGCACATCCCACTATAACCCAGTACAACCCAGCACACACCAGCACAGCCACACCAGGCTGATAAAGACACAGCAGAGATCAGTACATCCCAGTACATCCCAGTACGGCCCAGTACGGCCCAGTGCAGGCCAACACAGACCCAGTACATCCCAGTACATCCCAGTACGGCCCAGTGCAGGCCAACACAGACCCAGTACATCCCAGTACGGCCCAGTACGGCCCAGTAACTCCCAGCACCTCCCAGTCCCCCCAGTCCCCCCCATTTCCCCCAGTGCCCCGGTCCGGCCGTACCTGGGGGGGCTCAGCCCCCGGACGCTCCCATCGCTGCTCCGGGGGGGGAGGGGGGCCGGGCCTCGCCCTACCGGGGGGGCATCGGTGGGGGGGGGGGGGCACCGAGAGAGGGGAGGGGGCACCGGGAACTGGGGAGGGGCGATGGGGGGGGGGACGTCGGGAATCACCGGGATGGGACCGGGGGGTGGGGGGGAGAGGGGGCACCGGGATGGGGGATGGAACCGGGAGGGAACCGGGATGGAGGATCCGGGATGCGGGGATGGAACCGGGAGGGATCGGGGAGGGATCCGGGGATGCCGGGATGGATCCGGTGATGGAGGATCCGGGATGGAGGATCCGGGATGCGGGGAGGGATCCGGGATGGATCCGGTAATGGATCCGGGATGCGGAGAGGGATCCGGGATGCGGAGAGGGAACCGGGGATGGAAGATCCGGGATCCGGGGATGGAGGATCCGGGATGCGGGGAGGGATCCGGAGATGGAGGATCCGGGATCCGGGGAGGGATGCGGGGATGGATCCGGGGATGGATCCCGGGCGCGGCCGGGGTGTCCCGGAGCAGCCCCGGAGCCGCCGCCCCGAGAGGCCCCGGAGAGGCCCCGGTGAGGCCCCGGTGAGGCCCCGGTGAGGCCCCGGTGAGGCCGCGGCCGCCGCTCGGAGCCGCAGAACCGGCGGGGCGGGGCCGGGCGGGGCCGGGGCGGGGCCGGGGCGGGGCCGGGCGGGGCCGCGGGGGGCGGGGCCGCGGGCGCGCGGACGGACGGACACCGGGATGGACACTGGGACACACGTACAGAGAGATGGACACCGGGATGGACACACGGACACGGGGATGGGCACTGACATGGACACTGGGGCACAGGGATGGACACTGGGACACACGGACAGACAGATGGACACGGGGATGGACGCACGGACACCGGGATGGACACTGACATGGACACTGGGACACAGGGATGGACACTGGGACACATGGACAGGCAGACGGACACGGGGATGGACACACGGACACGGGGATGGACACACGGACACGGGGATGGACAGGGAGATGGGCACACGGACAGACAGATGGGCACAGGGATGGACACACGGACACGGGGATGGACAGGGAGATGGGGATGGACACTGATGTGGACACAGGGAGATAGGGATGGACATATGGACAGACAGATGGACGCGGGGACACTGGGATGGACACACAGACACAGGGATGGACAAATGGACACGGGGATGGACACTGGGGGGACAGTGAGGGACTCTGAGGGGATACTGGGGGGGCACTGGGGGTTACTGGGGGACACTGGGGGACACTGGGGGTTACTGAGAGGGCACTGGGGGTTACTGGGAGTTACTGGGGGACACTGGGGATTACTGGGGGCACACGGGGTTACTGGGAGGGCACTGGGGGACACTGGGGGTTACTGGAGGTTACGGGGACACACCGGGAGTTACTGGGAGTTAATGTGGGACACTGGGGGGACACTGGGGGTTACTGGGAGGGCACTGGGGGTTACTGGGGGATACTGGGACACACCGGGAGTTACTGGGGGGGTTCCGCTGGCCCCGCCCCCAGCGCGGGCAGCGCGAGGCCGCGCGGGGCGTGGCCAATGCGGGGGGGGGGGCGGTGCCTCCGTGATTGACGGTTGGCGCGAAGGGGGCGTGGTCCACCCAGCGCGAGGGGCGGTGCACCCCGAGGCACCGCCCCCGCGCCGCGTGCGCCTGCGCCTGCGCCATCGGTTCCCTCCCCGCGGCGCTCCGCCCTCTCATTGGCCCGTTGGCGGCGGCGGCGCCGTGACGCAGCGACGCAGGCGTGCGTGCGGTGCGTGCTGACGTTGCGCGGCGGCGGCGGCGGCGGCGGAGGTGAGTGAGGGGCGGCCGCGACCCCCGGGGGCCGCAAGGCCCGAGCGCAGCCCCCGCGCTCCCCGCGCGCTCCCCGCGCCTCCCCGAGCCCTCCCCGGCCCCGCCGCAGCGCCCGCGCCCGGCCCCGGCCCCGGCCCCGCCGGGCCTGCGCCCCCCGCGCCCGCCGCGCTGAGGGGAGAGCGGGGCGGGCGGAGGGGCAGCGGCCCCGTGAGGGGACACCGGGGGGTCACTGTGGGGCGGCTGTAACGGGGCGATCGCTGTGGCTGCGAAGGGGGAGGCTGGTCCGTGTGGGAGTGCCCCCGGTAACCGTGAGGGGTCCCGGTAACCGTGAGGGGTCCCGGTCACTGTGAGGGGTCCTGGTAACCGTGAGGGGTCCCGATCACTGGGAGGGGTCCTGGTAACCGTGAGGGGTCCCGGTTACTATGAGGGGTCCCGGTCACTGTGAGGGGTCCCGGTCACCGGGAGGGGTCCCCGGTCTGCTCTGGGGATGGGCCCTGGTACCATCTGGGGGTCCCTAGTTCATTTTAGGGGTCCTTAGTTTATTCTGGGGATCCCTGGTGCCTCCTGGGGGTCCCCAATTCCCCCGTGGGGGGTGGTCCCTGTTCTCCTGTTCCTGGGGGGTCTCTCCCCACTCGGGGGTCTCTGTGTGGATCCAGCCCCTTCCCCTCTCTGTCTCTCTCTCCCCACAGGACCCTCCGGACCCTCGCTGCAGCCCCGGGGGGGTGGTCCCTGTTCATGTGGGGAATATCCTGGGGGTCCCTGTGTGTATCTGACCCCCTCCCCTCTGTCCGTCTCTCCCCACAGGACCCTCCGGACCCTCGCTCCAGCCCGGGGGCCCCCTCGGCACCCCCTGCCCTCGCCCCCCATGCGCTGCCCGGCCCGGGGGGGCCCCCCCGCCACCTGAGGAGGGGGGGGCAGGTCGGGCCCGCGCCCCCCGCGCCCCCAGGGCGGCCCCCGGCCCCAGCCATGATGTTCCGGGAGCAGGTGGGCATCGTGGCGGGCTGGTTCCGCGGCTGGAGCGAGTGCGAGCAGACGGTGGCGCTGCTGGCGCTGCTGAAGCGCGTGACGCGCACGCAGGCGCGCTTCCTGCAGCTGTGCCTCGAGCACTCGCTGGCCGACTGCGCCGACATCCACCTGCTCGAGGCCGAGGCCAACAGCGCCGGTGAGGGCATGGGAACGGGGTTTGGGGGGATTATGGGGGTCCTGGGGGGTTACATGGGGGTTACACGGGGGTTACACAGCCCCGACATCCACCTGCTCGAGGCCGAGGCCAACAGCGCCGGTGAGGGCGTGGGAACGGGGTTTGAGGGGATTATGGGGGTCCTTGGGGGGGTTACACTGCGCTGACATCCACCTGCTCGAGGCCGAGGCCAGCAGCACCGGTGAGGGACTGGGGGATTGTACAGGGGGGTTATGGGGGTCCTGGCGGGGGTTGGGGGGGTTATGGGGGTCCTGGGGGGGTTACAGGGGGGTTACACTGCGCCAACATGCACCTGCTCAAGGCCGAGGCCAGCAGCGCTGGTGAGGGACCGGGGACGGGGTTTGGGGGGGTTACAGGGGGATTATGGGGGTCCTGGGGGGTTACACGGGGGTTACACTGCGCTGACATGCACCTGCTCGAGGCCGAGGCCAGCGGCGCCGGTGAGGGACTGGGGGATTGTACAGGGGGGTCCTGAGGCGGGTTATGGGGGCCCTGGGGATTCTTGTGTCTGCCCAGGGGGGGCTTCAGGGGTTCCCAGCTTCTGTTCCTGTGTCCTCTGTCCCCAGTTGCCATCTCCCGGTGCCCCTGCTGACCCTGTCTGTCTGTCTGTCCGTCCGTCCGTCCCCAGCTGCCATCTCGCAGTGGCCCCAGGAGCCCGCCGAGGCCGCGGTCGCCCTGCTCCTGGCGCACCTGCCCCTGCTGCAGCCCGGCAACGCGGCGGCCAAGGCCGAGTACATGAAGCGGCTGCAGAAGGTGCTGGCCGACGCCATCGAGAGCAACCGCTGCGTGGAGGAGTCGCGGGCAGCTGCTCTCGTACGCGCTCATCCACCCCGCCACCACGGCCGACGACCGCAGCGCGCTCGCCCTGTGGCTGGGGCACCTGGAGGAGCGCCTGGCGCCCCCCCGCCCAGCGCCGGCCCCCGGCCCACGAGTGGCCCCCCGAGCCCCCTGAGGCCGGCGGAGGAGGAGGCGCCGGCTGGCCCGAGCAGCAGCAGCAGCAGCACGGGACGGGGACAGGGACGGGGACGGGGACGGCGCCGCGGGAGAACGGGCACCCCGCCTTCCAGGGGGGAGGAGGTAATGGGGGAAATGGGGAAAAACAGGGAAAAACGGGGAAAAATGGGGGGAAAATGGGAGAACGGGCACCCACCTTCCAGGAGGGAGGAGGTAACGTGGGGGGAAATTGGGGTGCATACGGGGAAAAAAACAGGGAAAAATGGGGAAAAAATGTGGAAAAAGGACACCCCGCTTTCCAGGGCGGAGGAGGTAACGTGGGGGGAATGGGGAAAAATGGGGGAAAAGGACATCCCATGTTCCAGGGTGGCAGAAGTAGCAGGGGGGAAATGGGGAAAAATGGGGGGGGGGAAATTGGGGGACAGTTGGGGGGAAATGGGGAGAAATAGGAGGAGAAAGTGGGAGAATTGGGAAAAATGGGAGAAACGGGAAAAAACAGGGTATAGGAAAAGAAAGTGTGAGAGTGGGAGAAAAGGGAGAGGAAATGGGAGAAACTGGGAGAATGGGGAAAACCGAGGGGTCTGGGGGCCTGGGGAGGGGTCCGAGGGCCTGGGGAGGGGTCCGAGGGGCTGGGCAGGGGTCCAGGGGCTGGGCAGGGGTCCAGGGGCTGGGGAGGGGTCTGCAGAGCCCCCTCCTCTCCATTTCCCCGTTTCCCCCAGCCCTGCCGTGCCAGCTGCACCCCAGCCCCCTGAAGCGCTCGCTGGCCCTGGGGCCCGGCAGCCCCCAGCCCGGGCCTGGCGGTGACTGGGCCGGTTCTGGGGGGGGTCCCGAGGAGCCCCCCAACCCCGCGGGACCCCCCCAGCCCCGAGGGGCGCCCCAGGGCTTCGGGGAGCACGCGCCGCTGTCCCCCCAGAGCAGCGTGGCCTCGTCTGGCAGCGAGCACACCGAGGAGCGCAACTCCTTCCAGGAGGACGGCAGCGGCATGAAGGGTGCGTGGGGGGCTCGGGGGGCTCCGGGGGCTCCGAGGGGGTCTGGGGGCGGCCGTGACCCCCCGGCGTGTCCCTGTGCCCTCCCCAGACGTCCCCTCGTGGCTGAAGAGCCTCAGGCTGCACAAGTACGCGGCGCTGTTCGCGCAGATGAGCTACGAGGAGATGATGACGCTGACGGAGCATCACCTCGAGTCGCAGGTGGGACGCTGCGGGGGACTGGGGGGCACTGGGAGGGGATTAGGACCCAGGTGAGGGACTGGTTTATACTGGGAGGGACTGGAGGGGACTGGGGGGACACTGGAGTCCCAGGTGAGGGACTGGTTTATACTGGGGGGTACTGGGAGGGGCTGGGAGGGCCTGGGGGCACAGAGAGGGGACTGGGGGGCACTGGGAGGGGACACTGGGATCCCAGGTGAGGGAGAGGTTTATACTGGGAGGGACTGGGAGGGACCAGGGGGCACTGGGAGGGGACAGTGGAGCATCCTCTGGGCACTGGGAGGCGCTGGGGTGTCCCCAAAAGGAGGTGACACCCACAGATGAGGGCTGTGACCCCCCCCAGAGGAGGGTGACCCCCCAAAGGAGGTGACACCCCCCAAAATGGCTGTGACCCCCCCTGTCCCCCCCCCAGAACGTCACCAAGGGCGCCCGGCACAAAATCGCCCTGAGCATCCAAAAACTGCGGGAGAGACAGAGCGTGCTCAGGGCCCTGGAGAAGGTACTGGGGAGACTGGGAGCACTGGGAGGGGACTGGGGGGGACTGGAGAAGGTACTGGGCAAACTGGGGGGAGCTGGGGGGGGGTAACCTGTGTCCCCGCTGTCCCCAGGGGTTCTGGGGCGTCCCTGCTGTCCCCCTGATGTCCCCAATGTGTCTCCCCAGGACATTCTGGAGGGAGGCAACCTGTGGACGGCGCTGCAGGAGCTCCAGCAGATGTTGGGGACCCCCATCAAGGCCTTCCGGCCCCCCCCGCCCCCAGGACCCCCCGACGGGGCCCCCCCCGAGCCCCCCAACCCCCCCCCGGCGGCCGAGGCCGAGCCCCCCGGGGCCGCCGTGCCCGATGGGGACATCCCGGGGCAGTTCACGCGGGTCATGGGCAAAGGTGGGTCTGGGGGCTGCCCTGGGGGGCTGGGGGCTGCCCTGACCCACCTGTCTGTGTGTGTGGGCTGGGGAGGGGTCTCTACCAACGGGACATCCCGGGGCAGTTTACGCGGGTCATGGGCAAAGGTGGGTCTGGGGGCTGCCCTGGGGGGGCTCAGGGATTGGGGAGGGGTCTGCATGGCACAGGGATTGGGGAGGGGTCTGGGGGCTGCCCTGGGGGGGCTCAGGGCTTGGGGAGGAGGGGTCTGCATGGCACAGGGATTGGGGAGGGGTCTGTACCAACGGGGACATCCCGGGGCAGTTCACGTGTGTCATGGGCAAAGGTGGGTCTGGGGGCTGCCCTGACCCCACCTGGAGGAGTTCACAGATTGGGTAGGGGTTTGGGCCTTGAGGAGGGGTCTGGGGGGAGGAGTTTGGGTGGATTTTTTGGGGTTTTTTGCCCCCTGACGCCTCCTCAGTGTGCACGCAGCTCCTGGTGTTTTGGGGGTGGATTTTGGGTGGATTTTGGGGGTTTTTGGGGTTTTTCTGACCCCCCCTCAGTGTGCACGCAGCTCCTGGTGTTTTGGGGTGGATTTTGGGTGGGTTTTGGGGGTTTTGGGGGGTTTTTGGGGTTTTTCTGATCCCCCCTCAGTGTGCACGCAGCTCCTGGTGTTTTGGGGGTGGATTTTGGGTGGATTTTGGGGGTTTCTGGGGCTGTTTTGCCCCTGACCCCCCCTCAGTGTGCACGCAGCTCCTGGTGTTTTGGGGTGGGTTTTGGGGGATTTTGGGGGTTTTTGGGTTTTTCTGACCCCCCCTCAGTGTGCACGCAGCTCCTGGTGTCGCGCCCCGACGAGGAGAACATCTCCAGTTACCTCCAGCTGCTCGAGAAGTGCCTGAGCCACGAGGTACGCCCAGGGGCTGGGGGGGGTCCCGGGGGTCTCCGTGCCCCCCCCGGACCCCCCTGACCCCCCCGGGCCCCCCCAGGCGTTCACGGAGACGCAGAAGAAGCGGCTCCAGTCCTGGAAGCAGCAGGTGCTGAAGCTGCTCCGAGCCTTCCCCAAGAAGGGGCCCCTGGACGGCCCCCCCGGATACCGGCCCCCCAAAAGGTACCGGGACCCCCCCGGGGCACTGAGACCCCCCCCGTGCTGAGAGACCCCCCCAAAATCCCATTTCCATCCCAGCCTCCATTGCTGGCTTGGGCGGGGTTTGGCACCCCCCCCCAAATGATTAATAATCAATTCATCCCCTCCCAGCCCCAATTTTGGGGGTCTGACCCCCCCCCCGCTGATGGACCCCCTCCAAAATGCTCAATTTTCACCCCCCCCCCCCCCCAAAATCTCAATATTTGGGGGTCAAGGGGATCTCTCTCTCCTTTCCCAATTTTCTCTCCGATTTTGGGGGGTTTGGGTGGGGGGGCTGTTCCCTGTTTTTGGGGGGGTTTTGGGAGGTTTTTGGGTGATTTTTGGGGGGAGATTCGGGATGTTTTGGGGTTATTTTGGGGGTGTTTTTGGGGGTCCCAGCCCCTCTAACCCCCCCGTTTCCCCCCTGTTTCCAGCTGGGCCTTTGGCTCCAACTCTCTCCCCATAGCTGGCTCTGTGGGGGGGGGGCGGCGGGGGGGGGGGTCGCCCCTTTGCGCTGCCCCCCCGGGCCCTGCCCCCGCCCCCCACCCGCCTGGGACTGCTGGGACCCCCCGGGGGGGCCCCGGCCCCCAGACCCCCCCCCCTGGGAGCGCCCCCCGCCCTGGGCACGCAGGGACGGCAGGTGCGTCTGGGGGGGGGGAATTGGGGGGAAATGGGGGGGTTTGGGGGCATTGTGGGGATTTTTGGGGAGGGTTTTAGGGTGGATTTTGGGGAGATATTTGGGGAGGATTTGGGGGGATTTAGGGTGGATTTGGGGGATTTTTTGGGGACGGTTTTAGGGTGGATTTTGGGAGGATTTGGGGAGGTTTGATGGAGGATTTTGGGGAGGATTTTGGGGAGCTTTTGGGGTGGATTTTGGGAGGATTTTGGGGGTGGATGTTGGGGATGATTTGGGGGGATTTTGCACTTATATTGGGGGGGCACACTTGCCTGTCCCCACCTGTTTTTATTCTGGTTTGGGGTGGGGGGTCTCCCCCTCCCCCCGAGGACCTTTGGGGGGGGGGGCTCCCCCCGCGCTGGGGGTGCCGCCCCCCCCCCCTGTGACCCCCCCATTCCCTCCCCCAGAGCCTGTGGTTCGGGGCCGGGGGGGGCGCGGGGGGGTCCCCCGGGAGCCGCGGGGCCGTGCAGAGAACGCACTCGCTGCCGGTGCACAGCTCGGCGCTGCTCGCCTTCCCCAGGGTAAAAACGGGGCTGGGGGCTCGAAATGGGGCTGGGGGGACCCCAAAATATGGGGAGAGGGGCTCTGGAAATGGGGGGGTACCCATAAATGGGGAGGGGTCTGTGCAGAGAACGCACTCGCTGCCGGTGCACAGCTCGGCGCTGCTCGCCTTCCCCCAGGGTAAAAACGGGGCTGGGGGCTCGAAATGGGGCTGGGGGCTTAGAATGGGGTGGGGGGGTTCAAAAATGGAGAGAGGGGACCCCGATAATGGGAAGGGGGGGGGCCTGAAAATGGAGGGACCCAAAAAAGGGGAGAGGACTCAAAAAATGTGGAGAGGGTCCCAAAAGTTGGGGAGAGGGACCCCAAAATGAGGAGAAAACCCCAAAATGCCGGTGCTGGGAGGGGCTCAGGATGCTGGGGGGGTTTTGGGGTGGGGGATTTATTTTTTGGGCCCCCCCCCGAGCCATTTTTGGGCCCCCTGACCCATTTTTTGTGTCCCCCCCCTCCCCAGAGTGCCCACCCCCCCGGGACTGACCTGGAGATCAACCCCACGCTGGAGTCGCTGTGTCTGAGCATGACCGAGCACGCCCTGGGCGGTACGGGGGGACACTGGGGACAATGGGGACACTGGGGGGACATTGGGGACACTGGGGACACTGGGGACATTGGGGACAATGGGGATATTGGGGGGACAGTGGGGACATTGGGGGGACATTGGGACAATGGGGACACTGGGGACATTGGGGACAATGGGGTTATTGGGGACAATGGGGACATTGGGGGGACATTGGGGACAATGGGGACAATGGGGACATTGGGACAATGGGGATATTGGGGACAATGGGGACATTGGGGGGACATTGGGGACAATGGGGACAATGGGGACATTGGGGACATTGGGGGGACACTGGGGATATTGGGGACAATGGGGACATTGGGGGGACATTGGGGACAATGGGGACATTGGGGGGACATTGGGGACACTGGGGACATGGGGGGGGGCTGGAGTCGCTGTGTCTGAGCATGACTGAGCACCGCCCTGGGCGGGTACGGGGACACTGGGGGGACAATGGTGACACTGAGGGGACACTGGGGGGACAATGGGGACACTGAGGGGACACTGGGGGGACATTGAGACACTGAGGGGACATTGGGGGGACATGGGGACGGTTGCTGTGCATGAGCATGACAAGCACGCCGCCCTGGGCGGGACAGGGGGGACACACAGGGGTGACAATGGGGACGCTGAGGGTGACGCTGGGACATGGGGGGTATGGGGACATTGGGGACCCTGAGGGGACATTGAGGACATGGGGGGGGACACTGGGGGGTGGGGACACGGGGGGGAAATCAGGGACATTTGGGGACACGGGGGGATGGAGGACACGAATTGGGGATTGGGGTGGGGGGGGGACACAGAGGGGACCCCCGGGGGTTTTGGGGACCCCCCCTGACCCCCCGTTTCCCCCCTCCCCCCCCAGACGGCACAGACAAGACCTCCACCATCTGATGGCGCCGCCGCCCCCTCCCAAATGGGGGGGCACCTCCTGACCCCCCCTCCCCACCCCAAAAACACCGGGGGGAAGGGGCAGCCCCCCTCCCCTCCCCCACCGCCCCGGGGGGTTTGGGGGGGGGTCCCCGGTGAGGGGGGGGAGGGGCCAAGACACTACAGGGGGGGCTTTGTTTGGGGAGGGGTCGCGGGGGTTGGGGGAGGGGTTGCGTTTCCTCCGTTTTGAAAATCCCAGGATTTGGGGGATTTGCGGATTTTATTTCCTCTTTTTTCGTTTTTGGGGTTTTTTTCTTTTTTTTTTTTTTTGGTTTTTTTTGGCTCTTTATTGTTATTATATTATTATTAATTAATTATTTCTGTCCTGGCCCCTCCGAGAGAAGGGGGGGGGGGGGGGGGGGGAGGGAGGACACGACCCCCGCCCCAAATTTAGTACAACGCCGCCCCAACCCCCACGCCGGCCCCCCCCCCCGGTACCGCCCCCTCCCCCACCCCCTCCCCTTCCCCCCCCCCCTTTGTAGCGCCGCGGCCCCAAAATAGAGACAAAAATCGTTATTTTAGATACATTTTATTATGAATCCTTTTGTTATGATATGGCTGGTAACCATTGACCTTATTAAACACAAAAACCGCACAAAAACCGCCCCGAACCGCCGCTTTTCTGCCCCAAAACGGGGCCGGGGGGAAACTGGGGAGGGGGGATTTTGGTGGGGGGGGGGGGGGTGGGATTTTGGGGAGTTTGATTTGGGGGGGGTGGAATTTTTTGGGGAGTGGGATTTGGGGAGGTCACCCCCTCCTCACTCGCTGGAGGACTCGGAGCCTTCGCTGCCGCTTTCCTCCTCCTCCTCCTCCTCCTCCTCCTCTTCCTCCTCCTCTTCCTCCTCCTCCTCGCTGCCGCTGCCCTGGGGGCTGCGGGGCGCCGGGCCCCCCCCCCCTCGCTGCCTTCCTCCTCCTCCTCCTCCTCCTCCTCCTCCTCCTCATCCTCGTCGTTGTCGCTGCCGAAAATCTCCTCCTGGTCCCGCGCGGCCCGGGCGGCGTCGCTGCCCCCCCGGCGCCCCCCCCGGCCGCCTTCGGCCTCCTCCTCCTCCTCCTCATCCTCGCTGCGGGCGGAGCCGCCCCCGCGCTCCGAGCCCGAGCCTTCGGCCTCCTCCTCCTCCTCCTCCTCGCTCTCGCTGCCCTTGTCCCGCTCCTCGTCTGCTGGGGGGAAAGGGGGGACGTCAGTGGGCTGAGCCCCCTCCCCAAAGTGGGGGGGAAATGGGGCTGGGGGACTGGGGAGGGAATGGAGGAATTGGGTGGGAAATGGGGGAATTTGGGGAGGGGGATTTGAAGGATTTGGGGACGGGGGAATTTGAGATGGGGAATTTGGGGAGGGGGATTTGGGGCCCGAACCCGATCCCGGCGTTTCCTTCTCGGCCTCCATCTCCTCCTCCTCCTCCTCCTCGGGCTCGTGGTTCTCCAGCTGCGCCCGCCGGGCCTCCTGCGGGGGAGGGGGGTTCAGGGGGGTCCCGGGGGTTCGGGACCCCTCCCCAAATTCCCCCCAGACCCCACCTGCGCCTCCAGCTCCTTCTCGTTCATGTCCCGGTGCTTCACCACCAGCACCGCGTTGGTGGCGCCGACTGCACCCCGGCGCGCGGCGCCCGGCGCTTGCTCAGCCGCACCCTGGGGGCAAACGGGGGTCAGGGGGTGCCCCAAAACCACCAGGGACCCCCAGGGACACCCCCAAACCCCGAAGGACACCTCAGAACCCCAGGGACACCCCCAAACTCTCAGGGACCCCCAGGATACCCCAAGACCCCTTTGAACCCCCAACCAGTGCCCCCCAATCCCCTCCCAGTCCCCCCCAGTCCCTCCCAGTATAACCCAATGTCCCCCCAGTAACCCCCAGTCCCTCCCAGTTTATCCCAATCCCCTCCCAGTCCCTCCCAATCTCCCTCAGTCCTCCCAGTGTTCCCATTTTATCCCATTCCCAGTATCCCCCAGTATCCCCCAGTTCCCCCCAGCCCCATTCCAGTATATCCCAGTATCCCCCAGTATATCCCAACCTCCCCAGTGTCCCCAGTATATCCCAGTATCCCCCAGTGTCCCCCAATTATCCCCCATTCCCAGTGTCCCCAGTATATCCCAGTATCCCCAGTATCCCCCATTCCCAGTATCCCCAGTATCCCCAGTATCCCCCAGTATCCCCATTCCATTCCCAGTATCCCCAGTATCCCCAGTATCCCCCAGTATCCCCCAGTCCCATTCCCAGTGTCCCCAGTATATCCCAGTATCCCCCAGTCCCATTCCCAGTGTCCCCAGTATATCCCAGTATCCCCCAGTATCCCCCATTCCCATTCCCAGTGTCCCCCAGTTCCCCCAGTCCCATTCCCAGTGTCCCCAGTCTCCCCAGTATCCCAGCATATTCCAGTATATCCCAGTATCCTCCAGTATCCCCCATTCCATTCCCAGTATATCCCAGTGTCCCAGTATATCCCAGTATCCCCCATTCCCATTCCCAGTGTCCCCAGTATCCCCAGTGTCCCCCAGTTCCCCAGTCCCATTCCCAGGGTCCCCAGTCCCATTCCCAGTATCCCCAGTATATCCCAGTATCCCCCAGTATCCCCCATTCCCATTCCCAGTGTCCCCAGTATCCCCAGTGTCCCCCAGTATCCCCCAGTCCCATTCCCAGTGTCCCCAGTATATCCCAGTATCCCCCATTCCCAGTGTCCCCAGTGTCCCCAGTATCCCCCAGTATCCCCCATTCCCATTCCCAGTATATCCCAGTGTCCCCAGTATCCCCCAGTATCCCCCATTCCCATTCCCAGTATCCCCAGTATATCCCAGTATCCCCCAGTCCCATTCCCAGTATCCCCAGTATATCCCAGTATCCCCAGTATCCCCCATTCCCATTCCCAGTATCCCCAGTATCCCCCCGTGTCCCCCAGTGTCCCC